ATTCATGTACCCAGAACACATTTCTTGATCCTTCTCTGGTCTGTGTAACCCTCCTAAATCAGTACTGTGAAGATTTTATCCCCTTGGTCAAAAATCTTCAAAGGATTGTTATGACCTATTGCAGAAAACCCAGGTCCTTAGCTCAGCAATCAAGATCAAATAGTGATCTATTTTTTCCAACCTTATTTCTTTTACTTATCTTCAATAACCTCCTTTGGACCCCTCCTACTTGGGCAAATCCAATCCATCCTCCAAGGCCTGTTCATATTGACACATTCTGTAAAGCTGGGTCTGACTATACCTGGCTGAAGCATTCCAGTTGTTGGTGCATAACTCTAGGGGAGGCTGGGCACAAGTGTGGATTTATTTTAAAATTTAGCTTTTATTTAATTTTGAAAATATGCAATACTTTCAAATCTTTAACATTTGTAAGGTACAAAGGCTATGCAGAGAAAAACCTCCCTGTAATATATCTGTCCTCCATCCACTCGTATTCCTTCTGGGATAATATTATTAGTATAACATTAATTTTTGGCTGTTCATGTAGAGAGATTCAATACAAGCATACAATATATGCTTGTATTTATTCCATATACAGATGAATAGAAGCCCCCATACCATTTTAATGCCAATACTAATATGCTGTATACTTTAATCTGTACCTTATTTTTTTCACTTATTTTGTGTAGAAATTATTTTAGATCTATAATGTAAAGAACACATCATCAGTGTTTTTGAAAAACAGCTTAATGGTATTACATTAAGGGAATCATTACTTATCTAACCAAGGTCCCTACTGATAGGCATTGAAATGGTTTTAAATCCTTTGTCATGATAAAAAAAAAGCTACAATATAAAAGCCTTAAACACAAGTCATTACTTGTGTAGGAGTATATATGTTAATGATAAATTTTAAGAATTGAGGCTGTTATGTTTTTAGGTAAAAGGATGTGTACATCTGTAGTTTTGATAGATATTGCCAAATTGTCCTCCTAAGAAATTGCATCAATTTGTGCTCTCATCAGCAATTAGAAAATGGTCTATTTCCACACACCCTTGCCAAAGATGTCTTATTATGCTTTTTAAAATATGCCAATCTAGCAGGGTAAAAAATAGTATCTAATTGCAGCTTTAATTTTCAATGATCTTATCATATTATAAGTGCAGTGTGGCATTATAGAGAATTTTTTGTAGAGAAGAACTATTGGTTTTTCTTCTGTGAACTATCTGTTCGAATCCCTTTCCATTGGGTTAATAGCCTTTTTAAATCTTATTTGCAGCAGCTCCGATTTATTAGAGAAATTTTTTCGTCATGTGAAGCACAAGACTACTGAGTCTAAAGTTTTTTATTTTTAGGCAGGGTCCAACTCTGTTGTCCAGGTTGGAGTGCAGTGGTGTGATGACAGCTTACTGCAACCTCTGCCTGCTTGGCTCAAGCAATCTTCCCACCTCAGTTTACCAAGAAGCTGGTACTACACCACCATACCTGGCTAGTTTTTTTTTGTATTTGTTTTGTAGAGACGAGGCTGGGTCTGAACTTCACGTTCCCACCACTATATTAAACAAATAAACAAAACGTAATTTCTAATAATAGTTTCTCAGAACATACAAACCCTTTGCATTATTTATCGGCTTGTATATAATGATACTTCCTATCGTTTATTTCCCTGTAAGATTATTTATTCCCTGAAATTAGTTTACAGTGTTGACGAACTTGAACTTTCCTCTAATTTTCCTTATTTCTGGATCCTTCCAAAAGTCAATTGAAAATAATTTTACCTCTAAGAGGACTCCATACCAAAAGACATTTTTCTTTTCTGAAATAAAGTAATGTGAAAAACTCATTCTCAAGCCATATATACTGGTAAATTTGCAAACACCGACAGTACTTAGGTAAAAGATTGGGAGAAGAACCTTAAAGATTCCCACCGTAGAGTGGGAGTAATTTAGTGTTGGTGTTACAGGCAGATAGGCATGAGCGGGACAGGAGAGGACTCTCTCCCAACCCACCGGAATGTCTGGTGATGGTTCCGCAACAGAGAGATCATTTCCTGATGGTTCACGCCTGTTAACATCAAAATGTTAATAAACGCAGACCCCAGGGAGAAGCAATTTCGTAGGCATGCACTTTCAGAGACAAAAATGGCAAAGCATGGCATTCGGATACACACCACTAGGAAGGGGAAGAAAGCCTCAGACGGGCATGCGCGTAACTAACTTCCTAGACACACTGCGTGGCATGCGCAGTTCCCGAGGGTAAGGAGAGCACTGCGCATGCGGGAAGCCCGCCCTGAGGAAGAATCTTGGGAAAGAAGAGAGCATGTAAAGATCAAGGCAGAAGACCCCTCTTTTTGCTCTTTTTTTCTGTTGGACCTTCACGTATGCGCTTGAGTTTCTCCCAAGTGAATTTTCCTTTCTTTCCTGTTCTAAAGCCTTTGTAAACTTCCACTCCTGCTCTGAAATTTGCCTTGGTCTCTTTTTCTGCCTTTTTCCCCCTCACTCGAATTCTATCTTCTGAGGAGGCAAGGACTGAAGTTGCTATGGACTCCTATGGATTCGCTGCTGGTAATTCGGGGTAACTTGGATCTCTGCCACCAGTAACACTGGGATATTAAGACTGTAAAGAAAGGCATAAAGATTCAGGGTTATATTTGGTCTGCAAAAGAGAATATCCAGAAATAAATTCTCTTAAAACATTGTTAGGATTTCACAATAATGTATCTCTTTTGAATCTAAGCATTTTGGGCACCCAATTTTTTGTTTGTTTGTTTGTTTGTTTGTCTGTAATAGTAAGTTGTTTTGCCTGAGCTCCTTCCTTTTCAGACCTAACCCATAGTAATCGTCTTGCTCTGAATTTACCTCTCTAGGATGGTGTACCCCTTCCTGTCTGCTTATCCACAGGGGCTCTCCCATTAAGAGAACTACGACACTACTCTTTCCCATGTCCTCCTTGTCTACAGATAAATTTTATTGGATTATGGCTAGCCAAAAACAAATTCTGAAAACATAAAGAGTAGATTGTAATTGACAAACCCTTTGTTTTCAAGTTATTCATGTCGGCTTTCGGCAATAACACAAAACTCTCTTTGTCCTTGAAAACAGAAAGAACCTCTGAACTTATCAAGGATTTAAATCTCCTCAAATATGGTGGGGCGGGGGGTCGGGGGGAGGTGTTAGTGTATGAATCCTGGCCTGGTACTTGGAAAGTGCTGTGAAAAAACTCATTCTCAAGCCCCATATGCTGCTAAATTTGCAACCACAAACAGTAGTTAGGTAAAAGATTGAGAGGCATTAAAGAATCTGCAAAGATTTACAGTGGGAATAATTTAAGGGTTTGGGATATTAAGCCTAAAAGAAAGGCATAAAGACTCAGGGTTATATTTAGCCTGCAAAAGAGAAGTTGCCAGAGAACTTTAATAATGTTTCTAGGTCATAAAATAAACATGAAAAAGATTGTGCCGCTATGGCCCTTATCTGAGGATAAGGGAAAAATGAGTATGTAAAACATGAGAAAGAATTTAGGTTGGAAACAAAATAACACTTTGATTGAATATGTTCCTCATTTAGAAATAAAAGTCCACTTTTTTTCTACATATATTATACTTTAATCAAAAGTTAAACAAAGAAAAGACAAATTTTCATCTGTGTGGGATTGCTTTGGAATGGTCAGAGAGCTAGATACTTTCCTGAAGTTTGGTGATCATGAGCATAGCCTCTGCCATCAGATTGCTTTGGCTAAATGCTAGCCACACTGCTTTCTGTTTGTATGACCTTGGACAAACCTTTATTGTAGCTTCTCCTTGCCTCATTTCTAAAGTGAGATAATGAGAGTATTCATCAACTAATATTGTTAATGGGGATTTAGATAACGTGTGTCAAAGTTATTATTTGGTTTTCTTTTAAAAGGCAGAACATTCAAATGTTAGTGGTCTAAAGAGACAAATTATTTTTCCCTCATGAATAATTTCTAGTACATGTCTTGAACTGGCATGGTGCCACTCAGTTTATGGTATCCAGATCTCATCTCATCTGGATGCTTTATTGTATGTGACTTACATTCCTAAGTACATATATGCCTATTCTAGCTGTCCAGCCATTGTCTGTATTCTAGTTACCAGGCAGGATAAGAAGGTTCTCTCTTGAGAACAGTACCTGAAAGTAGTAGCACTTTCACTCCCAGCCCACTAGTCAGAATTTAGTGGCATGGTGACCCTTAGCCACTGGGGAGGCTGGAAAGCATGGTCTTGGTTCCAGGTAGAACTATATCCAACCACTAATCATGGGTTCTGTTAGTATAGATGAAGGAGATTAATATAGATAAACGTCATTGTTGAGGGAGAACAGATATTTAGGAGTTAGCAACTTCGGCTCCAGTGTGCAAAATGCTTAGCACAGAAGCTGGCAGTAAACAAAAACCCATGATTGTTATCATTGCAAACTTAGATTCACATATCTAGTATCCTATCAGCTATTTTCATCTTGTTCCACAGGTGCTGTCGACTCAACGTTTCTAAAAATGAAGTCATTATTTCACTCTGTATTACCTCTCTTCCCCTGTTTACCTATTCAGAGGGCATCCAAAAGCTTCAGTTTTGTGTTGTTAGTCTCAGATAAAGGCTTCACCACCCATCCCTCTTGAAGTTTTTCTCTACTACATCTCTTGCTTCACTCACTACATCTAATCAGCTTTAAAGACCAGTGGTTCTCTTTGGAAAATGTCCCTCAGATATGTCCTTTTCTCTCCACTCTCACTGTCCATTACTTTCACAACTCTTTAGAATGGTTCACAAGGCCCTTTATAATCTTACTCCAATTTATTACTCATCTCAACACATCTCATACTTCTGGGGGAAAAAAGATGAGAAGCAAATGTTTTATTTATTTATTTGTTTGTTTATTTATTTATTTATTTATTTGACAGGGTCTCACTCCAGTTGCCCAGGCTGTATTTCAGTGCTGTGATCTCAGCTCACTTCAGCCGTGACCTCCCCAGCTCCCGTGATCCTCCCACCTCAGCCTCCCAAGTAACTAGAACTCAGGTACGTGCCACCACGACCAGCTAATTTTTTTTGTATTATTAGTAGCAATGGGGTTTCATCATGTTACCTAGGCCAGTCACAAACTCCTGAGTTCACGCAATCTGCCCACCTCAGCCTCTCAAAATGCTGGGATTACAGCTGTGAGCCACAGTCCCCTGCCTAGAAACAGATATTTATATTTTGACTCTTTTAGGCAAATTTTGAACAAAACATTTATTTAATAAAAGAGTAAATGTTTAACAAAGATTGAAATGAAAAATTCAAGTAAGCAACCAGTTTTATATTGCTGTAGGCAATGCAATATCCAAAAAGCTTTTTTAAATAGGACACTTCTACATGTCTCCCAAAAAAGTAAAAAAATCTGATAGGAAAATAAAGATAATCTACATTCTATTTACTAGGGTCATTTATAATCCTCCCCTTAAAACTAACAGACTCACAGGAATGTAAAAACATTTGAGAGTTACCAGCTTCTTTTTCATCTTTTCACCCATACTCTGTTAAGGATTTGCAAATGACCCATAAATGAATTACTCTCTTATGATAAAAATAAACTTGCTTTGTAAGCAGTTGAGCCCTATTTGGTTGTTATAACTTTTTTTTCGTTTTTTTCTTTTATGATATTTATCTTAGACTGTTGTAAGTTTTTAATCACTTTTCTTTCTTGTCTGTTATATATTGAGACTTTTTCCCTTTGGCACTAAAGAAAAATCAATCTGTAAATCTGTAAATGGAAACAGATTTGTGAGTAAAGTTATAAATGAAAGTTGGCTAATTTTTGTAGACACACTTTAGTAAACCTTTCACCTATTTCAAATTTAAGGTGTGGTTAAGTTAAAGTGATTCTGTTATGTAATGATGGAAATTTGAACTGATGTATTTCAGTTCAGAGTTACTCTATTTACATTTCCACTCTCTTGATTTTGTATGTCACATAAAGCATATATAAGTAAATATATATCTTTGTTGGCTAAAAGGAAATATGTTTCCCAATCTATTGTCTTACTAGCCACTAATAGGTGTATATTATTTCTGCATAAAATAAATGAAGGAATTTATCATTTATATGCATAGTTATTTACATGCAAATTTAGTATGAAATTTAAGATATTAAGATAAATTTATTGAAAATGGAATACATTTTCAGATGCCTGGGCTACTCTCTTGCTGTAGTCCGTACTGCTTTTTAGATTATACTTTTGCAGATTTTTTTGTGGAGGATGAACTCTTCCCATTGTAATCAGATGGTAATAGAACTGACGTTTTATTAGTTTCTTCTAGAACATTCCTGCTTAGGTGGAATATACAGTTGATAATGCATATTAGATGATACTAGTTAGTTATTGTTATGTTTTCTTAGGTATGATAACAGCAATATGTAAATTCAAGAATATTTTCATTTTGGAAATTCATACTTAAGTATATAGAAGTGGAGAGAGAAGAGAGATCAAGAAAGCAAGGAGAAAAGAGGGTGCCAAGATGACAAAATGTTAACTGGTTAATCTAGCAAAGGTTATTTGAACACTTACTGTAGTATTCCTTAGGTTTTCTGTAGATTTCAAAATATTCAAAATGTTGGGAACATTTTAGTGTTTAACAATTACTGCATTTCAAATAAGAAAAAGGATACATTAGTCAATTAATTGTATTTTGGCAGCTGCAAATTTAGGAAAAGAAAGTTCTTATGTTCCTAATTGCTGTCTTACCCCAGATGATGGAATGTTGAATGACAGTCTGAGGAATGACTGAAGTTGACAGCACTGCCTTTGGAAGCTATTACTGCCAGAAAGGAGAAGTGAGATTACAGGAGTTGATAGAAAGGTAGAGGAAGGGAAGACGAAAAGAAGGAGAAGAAAGATTTAATAATAATAATAACAATAGTACATGGTCATCCATCACTTAATGATAGAGATACAGTCTAAGAAATGTGTCGTAAGTTGATTTCATTCATCATTGTGTGAACATCATAGCATGTGCTTCGCAGACCTAGATGGTATAGCCTGCTACACACCTAGGCTGTATGGTCCCTATTGCTCCTAGGATACAGACCTGTACAGTAGTAGGTTACTGTATTGAATACGGAAGGCAATTGTAATACAATGGTATTTGTGTACCCAAACATACCTAAACATAGGAAAGGTACACTAAAAATAAAGTATAAAAGATTAAAAAGATACACTTAACATGAATGGAACGTGCAGAACTTGAAGTTGCTCTGGGTGAGCCAATGAGCGAGTGGCAAATGAATGTGCTAATGAATGTGCAAATATTTAGATGCTAATGTGTGTTTCATGAAATTATAGGACACTGCTGTCTACTACTCTAGACTTTATAAACAATGTATACTTAGGCTAAGCTATACTTATTTATTTATTTTTTCTTAAGCTATACTTGTAAAACATTTATTTCTTCAGAAATAAATTCACCTTAACTTACTGTAACATTTTTATTTTATAAACTTAATTTAAAAAACTTTTGATTCTTTTGTAGTAATAGCTAAAAATACACATTGTACAGTCATATAGAAGCATTTTTTTCCTTTATATATTTATTCTACAAGCTTTTTCCCTATTTTTAATTTTTTTATTTTAAAAAATTGTTAAAAATGAAGACACAAAAATGTTTATTAGCCCAGGCCTACACAGGGTCAGGATCATCATTATCACTGTCTTCCACCTCCACAACTTATCCCGCTGGTTACTCATAAAACATTATCCATTGGAATTTCTATCATTGTTTACTAATTTGCAAATAAGGACAGAGAGTCAGAAGTTAGAGATTTTCCTAAGGTCTTGGAGCAATAAATGATAGAACTTGGATTTGAATCCAGGTCTGTGTGTCTCCCAGTGCTGAACCCTTTCTGCAAGATCAGACACTTGGAAAGTAAGGCTTCAGTTTAGTTTGATGTTCCAGTGGTTATATGTTTATAAGACTAAAAAATAAAATGCCAGTCAGTGTTGAAATTGATATCTACTGAAGTGAATGCATTAAGTTATTTAGGTTTTCCCCACCTTTCCTGTCCTTGAAACAGGTACAACCAAAAGTTTCTTACTCTAATCAAACTGACACTAAATTATTTTTCTTCTGAATGATGACCAGACCTTTCCCCAACAATAGCCTTTTATTCTCTGTAATTTCTCATTATTTCTTTTTATACAGTACAAAATTGTTATTATTGAGAATTCAGGTCTATTAGTAAAAACAATTACCTTTATTCTGTACACATTATGTGTCAAAGTGTGCCAGATTATTGACATATATAATTTCATTTAGCACACGTTAAAATCTAAATATTAAACATTTAAACCAGTATTTGACAAGTTTAATTAATCAACAATCCCATCAAATAATGGTTCTCAACAATTTCCCCCCAGGGAATATTTGACAATGTTTAGAGAGAATTTTGATTTTTGCAACCAGAGGATGTACTGGCATCTAGTGAGTAGAGATCAAAGATGCTGATAAATATCCTACAATACACAGAACAGCTCCTTACAACAAATAATTATCTGATACAAAATGTTAACATTGCCAAGGTTGAAGTGTTACAGTCTCTGTATTCTAGATGAAGCGGGCTCAGGGAGGTTTAGTGACTTGCCCAAGATTAGCCTAGGAATGACAGAACCAGGCTTGGAACCTAGGTGTATCTTGATCAAAGTCCTTGCTTTTCCTTGTAGAGAGGAAAAGAGAATTGCAGTTTAGAGAAGGTGAAGATTAGTACATATATGTCAAAACCATATAATTACGAAAGAGGATAATTAAATGAAAACATACCATTGTCAAATGGATTGCTTAGCGAAAGCTTCTGAGATGCCTGAAGTTAATGTCTAGAGTACTTGATTTAGAAAAATAAAACTGTAATGATGATAGAAAAAGTGGATTCATTTTTTCTTTCATTTAATCACTTCATTTTTTTTTTCCTGAGAATGCTGTTATTGGATGTTAAGGCTTAGAAAAAGACCTAGGCAATCTGACAAAATTATTCAGCCTTGTGGGAAAGAGGATCAACAAAAAATGTTTCATCGTTACTTCACTAAAAATAGACACATTATAATGGAACCAAAATTGATATCAAGAAAGATGTAATATTATAGCGATAAACTGTCTGAAATGCTAAACAATCTTTTAAATGAGTTAATTGCAGTTTAGAACATACAAATAGAGCGTTTGGCTTATTAAAAAACAAGACAGCCTGCTTAATGGGCTTATTTTAAAGGAACCTCTTTGCTTTTCATCTTCTGTTGAGCTAAATATAATATAATGGGGGATATATTTACAATCTTCTATATATCATGTAAGCAGTTTACAGAGACTAAATCGAAATATGTTAGACTTTTATCAGTGAAGAGGAAATAATCTTTCTTCTGAGCCATTTCCATTGTGTTTTCATATGGTATTTTCATAGGAGAAAGCAAACAATATGGTAATTAATATATATGGAAAATGAAGGACATGTTAGATATTATTGTTGTATTTTGAGACTTGGGAGACAGATGGAATAGTGTTATTTCCAACTGCAGGGTGGGGTGTACCTTTGATGATGAGGTATTTGGACCAAGAAGACTTACTCCAAGTGTAATTTCCTGACCTACCTATACCAGTTTATGGGAACCTACCAAACATTGCTAGAGTACTTGAAAACTCACTTTGCAGAGCATTTACAAACATTATTATTTTTGTTATGTTTCCCCTAAATTCTGAACTTTGTGAGGGCAAGATTTCTGTCTAATTTTCGCAGTATTAGATATTTCTTTAATGAATTCCTGGATGTACTGTAACATTCTTTTCAGATACAAGGAATTTATTTAGTTAAAAGAGATCTGTAGATAATACGGATGAACACCTAAGATGAGACAGTTGGTAGATGTATAAGCAGTTTGTGTACACAGAGAAACTGAAACTAAAAGAACAGGAAAGAAAGGACATAGACTGAAATCAGAAGTGAAATAAGAAGCTAAAGATATTACTAAGATGCATTAGTGAATAGGACATAAGAAAATAAAGGCCCTATTTGAAGATATTTTGAATCAATCTGTAGAATAAAAGATAAACAGGGTTCTGAACACGTTCCTTTTCCTCTGCCTGAGTTATGCTGTTCTTACCTCCTCTAGCTGAGATGTAGTTAAGAAAAAGTGAGCACGTTGTGGCTATTTTGACTCTTACGTATACTGTGTCTTTCCATTTTGAAGTGAATATACCTAGAATATAAGTAATTGTTTTGGGACAGCTTTTGATAACCTTCACTATTTGCAATATAATTTTTTAAACCTTTTTATTCATCAAGAAAGTTTTGATTAAAAGGTGATGGCCCATTTCTGCTTATTGAATATATTTTAAACTTATTTCATAAATATTTGGTCATTTATAGTATATTATTAGAATAACCCAGTACTTTGGAAAAAAAGTGTGAAGAGCTCAAATAACTAAAATATTAGGGTCGGTATTACATTATAGTTTCTCTTTCAAAATGAGGTCAGTGAGGAAATACGTACTTAGAACTTCTGAAGAATATGAACAGGGAGAAGTCATTGGAAGGTAAACTGTAATGGATGAATAATTGGAATATCTTCATCTTAGCCTGCTCAGCAAATCAGAGTTGCTTGAGAAATTGTTTTCATTGACTGATTGTTTTTTTGGCTTTGGAGAGAACAAAATGTGTCCAGGTAAATATGAAAGCAGGAAAGGCCTCCAGTAAAAGACAAAGTCAGAGGATCAAACACATTGTTGATAATGACTTATGAGTGGCACAAGGACCTGGTGACTGGTTAATTCCTTTGGTTGGATTTTGGTGTGACAGAGAGCCTTCTCTGCCCCATGATCACAGACCTGCCATTGGCTATTGTAGATATCTTGGAAAGCATTGATCTTGTCAAACCTTATATTGCTTAAGAAAAAATTATTCTCAGGAGTCATGAAGTGACTTGTCTAAGGCCATACAATTGATTGGTTGCTTATAGCTACCTTAATTTTGGATTTAGACATCTTGAGTCCCAGTTTAGTTCTCTTGCTGCTGTACTATGCTTCATCTATTATGTGGCAAAGACTAACTGACAGAAAGAGAGACGGATGGATAAATTTATTATCACTTTCAGGGTTACAAACCAAAGTATCCACTATTTGGTGGGCCACAAAACACTTTCTAATGAACCTTCTTGGTTACACTATAGAACTATTCTGAAGTTACAGACTACACGTAATAATAGTATAATAGAGTGTAGATGACATAATTTAAAGGATGGTATTTTAAAAATAGTGATTATAGGCCGGGCGCGGTGGCTCAAGCCTGTAATCCCAGCGCTTTGGGAGGCCGAGGCGGGTGGATCACGAGGTCAAGAGATCGAGACCATCCT